TATTTTGAGAGTGGTCCTTCAATCTTAGGGGGCTTCGGTGGCCAAGTGGTTAGCGCACTTGCCTTTCACCTCTGAGGCTGCAGGCTCGAGTCTCACTAAGTACCTTCTCAGTGCGACTCGAACCCAGTCCCCATGTGAAAAGAGTAAAAGTCAACGCTCTGCCGAAAGCCGTGGGTTTTCCCCGGGTACTCCGGTTTCCTCCCACAGGGAAAGTTGACAGGGTGGGTTTAGGTAAAAAAAAGGGCCCACAGTAATCGGCATATGCTGTTGTGGTGACCCTGCCCTAGTTGGCAAAGCTAAATAAACAAATAAATAAATAAACAAATAAAAATCTATATCCATCAAGAATACAGAGGAAAAGTGAAAACAAATTAAATTAACAAGGTCATATAATAAAATATTTTTAATAAAATATTTCTGCATTCCTATAAAATATTTAAAGTGATGGGCTGGATAAAAATTGCAATTCGTCACCTGTTTCAGTTCGACATTCTGGTAGCGTATAATTTGCTATGGAAATGAATTGATTAAGAAATTATGAAAGAATTATACCATACATTAAATTATATGCGAAGGCCAAGGCAGTGAGCTCCGTATATATCTGGAGCGAGAACTCGAGTCCAAAAAGTGAAGGCAATATGGTGGAAATTGAAGAGTTATCGGATGTCAGTTCCAGTCCCTTTCTATTGTTTTTGTCTGCGCGGTTAACGTGAAGCTGCCAAGGAGTGTGCTGAAATCTCGTATTTTGACATCGATTTAAAGAATAACAACAATTATAGTTTATAAATAATAATAATGACAATAGTTTTATAAACTAGAATTAGCTAGGAAAAAATGGTATTAAAACTGTTTAACACGACCTTCATAGCTATTGGACATCAATTGCAGCCGTCTTGGCTTCACTTTTTATTTTCTCATAGTCGGAACTCGCAATGACTGAAGTACAGATATATAGAGCTTGCAGGTCGGCAATATTTGTTGAACTTTATTGAGTACAAATTAATTCCAAAAATATATACAAATATCCATCTTAACATGCAATTAAAAAAAGTGCTGTACTCAAACGGACAAGGCACAAACTGGACGTAAAGTCCGTTGCATGGTGCCCCTCCTCTTTCTAACATAGACATTTTAATTAAAGTCACAGTATACTGCAGTATAACATATTTACTTATTAAATATTAATATTATGCATGGCACATTAATTTGATTAGTTATGTTAGTTTATTGTTTGTGACAACCACAATCACGTTTAAGTGACCAGGTGCAAGTCATGTCCGGATCAAATACTGTTTCCAGAATATGCTTATACCTCATCTTGAGGTACATTTTGAAAGACGATGGCGATGTGAAACTGGAAGGATCAATTAAGAGATAAACACTGTTCCATAATTTGACAACATGATTAAAATACGACGAACTTCAGGTACACGTTTTACACAACGCGGAGTTTCCAAGTATTTGGAACTCAATGCTCTACGTGTCCGTCTATGATTGACAAAGTGAACAAAATTTGAAACATCAATGTCGATGTATCCGCTCACTGCCTTATAAAAAAGATTAAGTCCTTGACCTCGCGATCGTTCGAAAGAGGGAGAATATCCAGTTGCTGAAGTCTCTCTTTGTAGGATACTTCACCAGCTTTGACGCGTAAGATCCATCTCGTAGCACGTCTCTTCTTGATGATATAGGTTGGCATTCATGCAGGTCAGCATTTGCCGTCCTGAATTTCGACGCCTAATTTGGCCTTGATCCTGGGCGTCTATTAGTTATACAGAGCATTTATTATTCAGGTCATTTACGGTATTTAAGAAAGGTCGTGCAAACGTGGCTAGTTTATTTTTCCCCCAAAATGCAATCTGCACCATAACAAATGTTGAGTTAAGTATGTAATTCCCGCTAGCCTATAGCGTTGTCCATCCCTTACAACGTCTTCTGTATTCAGGTTGAGAGCCAGAGTGATGAGTGTGGATGGCAGTCTTGTGAAGGTTTGTTTCAACGTTTTGCCATAACTGTCATCTTACATTGGGAATAAGTGAGTCTAATACGTTCAGATACCATATACGTATTTAATTTCGCCAAATTAAAGTCGCGCAAATAAAAACCTCGTGAAATTTACACCCTAGTACATCATAAAGTTCTTGATGGCAACATGTCTAGGTGGCTCGGAGCCCCCCGTTACCCGCAATAAAGCTGAGTAAAAACCATAACATTGCGGACTAGCGTATACAGACAGTACATACCAAGCTTATGTTGACTTGTTTCGAATATGGTATCTTTCATGGATTTTTTATATCAGCTAAGAATCCTATTAGCCTATATGATTGGATAAACAATGCCTGCTAATATACTAACTTGACTGTTTTTGTTTTAGATGTTGTTTCAAGTCGATAACCGTTCAGAATGGGTTTATCGTGGATCGACTAGACTTGATCCATTATATACGGCATTGGTAAGCAACGAAATTATATCGAGAATTATACCGGCTTCTTAGACGAGGTTGCATGCACAATTGATGTATGTGCCTGCTTGTTTGAAACCACACGGAGCTCATCGAAAAATATAATTATCCACAGCTGATATCAGCCAACAAAAGATTGTTGCTGCAGAGCAACATTATGCAGGAAAGAGTAATAAAGTTGTGGTGTTGCTGTTGTTGTTGTTGCTGTTGCTGTTGCTGCTGCTGCTGTTATCGTTGTCTTGTTGTTGTTGTTGTTGTTGTTGTTGTTGTTGTTGTTGTTGTTGTTGTTGTTGTTGTTGTTGTTGTTGTTGTTGTTGTTGTTGTTGTTGTTG